AAATTTGATGAAAATTAATTGTGATAGTAAAAAGTTTTATTAGTAGCATATATCTATTTTCTTATAAAAATCACATTATACAACAAAATCATATGACAAAATGATCTACATACCCCTACCCTTAATGAATTATTATCCAAAGTAAACCCAGATCTAGAATCTATAAAGATAAAATTCTAAATTATTTATACAAAATAAAACTCAATATTAAAGAAATAAATTATTCATCATTCAGAAACTACAAAATATCAGGTAATTTTTGAATCTGTTCTACAAGTACTTTACAAGCCCATAAAGTTTTTCTAATGAAAGTTCAGGCTCTGGATCTAAATTAACTTCTTGGTTTCTATTTATTTCAAATATTGCATCACTTATACAATTAGAAACAGATAAACCACTATTCATATTATCTTTATTATTATTAACTGTTTCAAGATTTAAATCTTTATTCCAAAAATCTTCAAGTTGTAAAGTAGAAAATTTTTGTAGATATTAAAATAATAGGCATCGCTGGATATAGGATTCATTTTTAAATATCTTGATAAATAAATAGCTCTTTTATAGCCAATATTAATTATATTATTAATTTCAATATCAGAGGACCAATAGCGTAAATGCTCAAGATCATTGTTCAAAAGGTTAATTTTTTCATATTCATTAAAACTGTAATCTAGAACAAGTTGAATAAGTTTTAAATCAAATAAGTAATAATGATATGTGCAAATATATAGGTATTTCTTTGACAATAATCTATAAGATATGAGTACTGCCAAGAGAAATCGAGACTTCATTTTATCATTAATTATTTATTTAATCAATGATAAACAGAAGTCTCTTTTTTTTTAGTAGCACTCTACAGTATTACTATGCATCATAAGGCTATTCTTAAGGCAAAGACCTGATGATTAATTTATTAATATATATATTTACTCTTACACATTTTTTTTTCTTTTTAAAATAATAAATGATCTGATTGAATAAATATAAAATACTGATTTATCTTCGGAACCATTTGCAAAATTTCTAAAAAGGCAAAGTCAGGTTGAAATTGATGAGCAGCTCTAAAAATATGTTCACAAGATTTAGTGCCATGTTTCTATAATAGTAAAGGTATATCTTCATAATAATTTCTATAAATCTTAATTAAAAGAACTAAAGATTCAACTAAACTAATCATAATATTAAAAGTTTGCATTGTTAAGAAGTTTTTTGAAACAGATATATATAAAGAATAAGAATTACTAAGAGTTTCAATATGATATTTCTATAGATGTAAAAAAAATATGCTGTTATAGCCATTTCAATTCTTTTATGATGTGTAATACTGCAATTAAGATAACTATTAATAAGTTCACCTAAAATAAATTGAAACTAGTTAATTTAATATTAGGATATACTTAAATTATAAAAATTTTAATTAATATATACCCATAGTGAAAAGATATATAAATAAATCTTGTAGTTCAGATAATAAAGCCTTTCTTTATCTAACACTTAAGCCAAATTCCTTAAACAAAATACTCTATATATAGCATTATCATCTTGACGATCTAACCTTATTACATCTTACTTATATATATTGTTTTCTTCTTTAAGAGATAATTTTAACAGATTATCAAACCAGATAGTAGAATTTCCAAATGTAAGTAAATGAGCACCTGATATAATGACATTCCTGGCTGTTTTTTTTTTATGTTTTGGATCTTGAACACAGATTACAGGCCCAACTTTGGGAAATATTAGACAGTTAAAATTAATACCAAATTGAGAATTTCGGTGTTAAACCCGATATTTTGTCCTAGTTGCTTGTAATAAATTCTGTGCTTGGAATTCAGCAGCAACACTATCTGACCCAATAGATATTATATGTAATTCTAAATTTGCTACAATGTCTATAAGCTTTTGATGAAGTAAAAATTTTTTTTCATTATCATCACTTCCAGTTAGAATCAATGCTACAATTATTGGTAGAAATTTTGAAAAAGGCATCTAGTAATTTAAAAACTCAATTTAAATAAAATATTATAATAAAATTTAAATTAATTATTGACTATTACCTGAAGAATATAAGCTTTAACATATTTTGCAACTGCATTTTCTTGCTTTATATTAGAAACCTTATTATATATATTATTATAAGTTTCAATCTTATAATAATTTTGATTTAAAGTTAATCCAACAATGCAATCTAAACTTGAAGAATACTGTAATCTAACTTTTATTTTTGTACAATCAGTCATAGTCATAACAGGATCTTTATAATGTAATGTATCTAAAAGCCTTTTAAAATGAGCAACATTTTTATAGCAAAGATCAGAATTATTAATCACATCATCTGAAATTCTTTTATAATGCCTATAAATAATAAAATTATTTTTAAATATTGTAACATAATTATAAGATTAGCTATAGTAAATATTATATGCTATGATGATCACATGATCATAATGTATATGACGATCACGTGATATCGATGGATCTTTTGCCTAACAGCTTGCATATTTATTTATTCGTTTATTTATTTTTCATTATTTATTATCGTATGTATAAATTATTATGTATAGTATTGGTAGGATAGTAATTAAACATAAAACAGGTTTGTAATAAGGAGGAATTATAGTTTTAGGAAAACTAGTCTAGAGAATAAGTAGTTAGTTATTTGCTCTTATAAAAATATAAAAACGTCCTATAAAAAGTCTTTGTAAAGGGATCATTCACTGCCTCAAAGTCCTCAATATAATAAAACAAAACCTCTTCGTTTTGAATTTCTCCTAACAAAGACCTAAATCCACCTTATAACTAAATATTTCGGTTACAATATAATTATACTATTCAATAATTTTCTATAGTGATATATTGTATATTTAATTTTTAAATTAAATAATATCACTACAAAAAATCATTAGCTTGTTAATAAATAATTAGCATATATTAAATTATAATTACCTTATCGTTCAAATAGTTATACCTGCCAAATTCTGACGAAATAAATCTAATGCTTTTAACTGATATTTCCTAAAATTACAAGAAAATTTAAAAATTTATTTGAATATTTGAGGCTCTGTAAACCTTTATCTTGGTTTTCATATTCTGTAGCTTGTAATATAATATAGTATAGTCTCTTAAAAACTGGCTTTTGCTCAAATATGCCTTTAGTGGCTTTTTCAGAAAATTCTGCCCAAAATTCTTTTAATAATGAATTCTTATTATAAAGAATATTATACAAATGTTTAATGTGATTATCTTTTAAGTAAGATAATAATAGATTATTATTATAATAAATTTTAAGTGTATATTTAATATTTTTTGGGCAGGAGAAACAGCTCTAATATGATTCAAAAAATATGGATTATTATAAAGAAGATAATACAGAAAACAAGCTTTTTCATAAGTTTTTTTTTCACAATTAACAGATCAAATACACATCTCTAAGATTATAATTATAAAGCCAAATAATTAAATTCTAAGTAGTTCTAATATGGAGTCTTTGCTTATAGTACATAATACTATAAGGTCATTTTCAAGGCAAAGACCCCATATAACAAAGTGAATAATTAATTTTAATTATAGCTTTAATCCTGCCATAATTAACTTACCAAAGAGATCAATAAACCATTCAGATTCGACCATTATTTGTTGATTAAATTGTATTATTTCTTCTTTATTAAGTTTTTTAGAAATGAACTTTATATTATTTGAAAATTTATTTGAGAACATTTCTTTTTCAATTAATTCATATCAATATGCACCTCTATATGTGGTTGGTGTTCTATTAATCTAAAAATTAATTTGTTTAGAATATAGCTTAGGACAAGGTTTGTCTAGAAATGATGAAAGAAATAATAAAGACAATGATGATAATGGAGATATTTTTTTCTTTTTTTAGAGTTAGGTAAGACCGGGAACAGACCAGGTAATCCAAGCTGCTTTTTTTCATTATTTAATTTACATCTTGAATTTTAGAATGTTCGATAAGTCTTGACTTATCATAATTATTATCTAAAATAATTTTTTGTCTATATATACAAAATACTGTGCATTCATTAACAATAGCCTCACAAAATTTATTGCTAGCTAAGTGGGCTTAAGTATATTTCCACTTTATTTATTCTCAAGCAAAAAATAAGTGCTTTATAATTACACTTCTTTGTGGCTGAGTTATATGTTTATTATAAAAGCTTTCACAGATCCAAGTTTTAAATTTCGGTAGCATTTCTGTAAGATATCTGTGAGATATCGGACATCAATTTATCTGATAGCTTATCGATATTTGGTGCGTATCTTCACCTATCGGCAGAATATCAGCTTCCGATAGGTCTAGTAGCAGAATATCGGTTTCTGATAGGCCTATCAGAAGCCGATATTCTGCCAATAGGTGACGATATGCACCAAATATCAGTGAGCTATCAGATAAATTGATATCCGATATCTCACAGATATCTCACAGAAATGCTATCGAAATTTAAAACTTAGGCCTGTGTTTTAGATAAGAACTTTTTTTTACATGCCAGATTATTTAAACTTTTTTTTACATGCTAAACTATTTCAAGCTTTTTTTTATATACCAAACTTAAGTTAGCATTAGCCAATTAAAATAATAAGTTATTTGCATATATATAGTACATAGTGTAGGCTTTATATTTAAATACATATTACCTTTGCATTAGCCAATTAAAATAATATTACTTGCATATATGTGAGTACATATATACGTATATATATATAGTGTGAGAAATTTAATGCTTTATATATCTGCATAGAATAGTTACTGTTAAGTACGTATATATTATTACCTTTGGTATATTTATTTTTATTAAGTAATCTTTCCAAAAAAAGGATAAATTGACAAAATATTAAATATGACAATGTGAAATTTTAAATATTTCGCCATAATTCAAAATGTAACTATTATTTAAATTAATACTAATTCACCAAATTTTAAATTTAGGGCTTAGTTCAAATTTTAATTAATTTGCTACACTATACCAACCAGCTCGACAGACAATCTTCGACGATACTATATAAAGAATAATCATCTGGATACTGAAAAACCAGATAAGACCAAAGTGTTTAGCAAGATACTATATCAACCAGTCTAACAAACAACTGAAAAAAGGGTTTGGCCCTTCTGGACTATCAAATTAGAAGTTTAAGAAACTAAAAGTATGAATATGAGTCTGTAAAGTATATACCAGAGTATGAACTCTATAAGATCAGTAGTAAGTAACTATAATAGTGTTATATTAGCAAATTTTATTAGTATTTTATTAGTTAAATTTATTTACTGTATATTATATTTTATTAGTCAATTTTTATTAGTCCTATTTTATTAGCAAATTTTTATTATATATTTATTATATTTTCTCTTAAATTTTATTATATTATTTATATTATTATTA